TCATGCGATGTTGGATATTTCGGCTGGTTCCAACTTCGGGCTATTGTAAACAGAGCTGCGATGAACAGGGAGTGAGGTATTCCTTTGATGTGATGATTTCTATTCCCTTGGGAATATACCCAGCAGTGGAATTGCTGGATCATATGGCAGTTCTATCTGTAGTTGCTTGAGGAAACTCCATACCATTTTTCATAATGGCTGCACCAATGTACAGTCCCACCAACAGTGTAGGAGCGTTCCCCTTGCTCTGCATCCTCACCAGCATTTGCTATTCTCTGTCTTTTTGATACCAGACAGTCTAGTTGGGGTGAGATGTTGTCTCTATGTGGTTTCAATTTGCATTCCCATGATAATGAGTGATGTTGAGCATTTTTTCATGTGTCTGTTGGCCATTCAGGTCCAATTCCCAGGGCCAGTGAGGACGTACATGTGTTACTTTTATAGCAGCATTTTTATAATGAAGGTAAGTTTTGCGTGGTTAAGTACTGGCAAGAAATCTGTGTCCACACAATCACAATTTAATAAGATATGTGTCATGACAGAAGTAGCACAGGTCACTGTAGGAGTTCCAGGGAAGGGCTTTGAACTAGCCAAGAAATCAGAGAGTGCTTCCAGGAGAATGAAGCCACTGAGCAGAGCTGTGAAGAATGCGCAGGAGTTTACTCAATAATTAAATAGCGTCAAGAGCTTGAGATACAAGGAACAGTATGTGCTAAGACACAAGTGATTGGAAGAGAATATTGGTTTATTCTGAACAAATATTTGGTATAGCTTCAGCTTAAGTGTCTTATGGGGTTTTGTTAGTGAAAATGAGTCTGATCGGAGATTCTATTAACAGAATAAAGGGTGTTGAGGGCTGGCCCGTAGCTCACTTGGGAGAGCGTTGTGCTGCCAACACGAAGTCAAGGGTTAAGATTCCCTTACTCGTCATCTTTTTTTTTTTTTTTTTTTAAAAAAGAAGGGTGTTGAATTGTCAGGTTAACAAACTTGACCTTTAGCATGGGGACAATGGGAAGGCATGATGATCTGTGTAGAGGAAGGATACAGCCAAGTGGTAGATTCCTCTGCAATCAGTGTATCCTTTGAGATCTTAGGAGAAACAGAGAGCCCATTCAGAACTGTAATTGAACTTTTAACACAAAGTATTTATATAGGTGTGGGTGGGACTAAGGGAACAAACAAATGGTGATGAAGCACCCCAGGATGCCAAAGCCACCCCTAGAACTGAAAGGTCAAGGGTAGAAGAGAGATGTATCTAGGGGGTGGGAGGTGCCTAGAGAAGCTGATGCCATGGGTAGAAGGGCACAGTCACCGACAAGCCACAGCCTGGCAGGGCATACGTGTGCAATCAAATTCCCTGGCCTTATTCTCCTGACACCCTCTGATCTCCTGACAGGGCCTGCCACGGGCTGAGCTCAACCAGATGCTAGACAGGATGATGTTGGTGATGCAATCCACCGAATCAGCCTCCAGGGTATAGAAAAGGTGAGACAGTATGAAGAATAAATGTGGTGTGGCCTTTGGAGGACAGCCTGTATAGTCATCCCTTGGTGTCCACAGAGGATTTGTTCCAGGACCACTGTAAATACCAAAATTCCCAGATGCCCAAGTTCCTTATGTAAAATGGTATAGTATTTGTACATATCCATTACACATCCTTCCCTATACTTTAAATCATCTCTAGCGTGCCTATAATACTTGATACCATGTAAATGCTAGACAAATAGTTGTTGTACTATATTTTATATTTGTATTGTTTATTGTAGTATTGTTACTTTTTGTGTATTGTTAGTTTTTATTGTCTTTTTTGAATATTTTGATCCACAGTGGATGGAATTCCAAGGATGCAGAACCCATGGATACAGAGGGTCAACTGTACTACTTTGTGGAAGACAGAGCGTGAAGGGAGAGACTGACGGCTGAAAATTTCATCTGAGGAGGAGGATGATGCAAATCACATGCAAAGAGAAAAAAAAAAACCTGGGTCAGGGTCCATGGAAATAGAGAGAAGAGGGCAAACGTGAACATTGCTAAGAAGGTAGAATGCATAACAGGAGCGAATTTCTCTTGGAAGTGGGGTAAGAGAGAGAAAAGTGATGTTGATTTCTATGGTTGTGTCTTGGCTAACAGCAGACTTTATTTTTATTTTTAATTTTTTTGTCCTTTTTGAGACTGGCCTCATTGCGCTCAGTCAGTGAGTGCTGTGACTGCACCGGTCATCCCTATATAGGATCCGAACCCGCGGTGGGAGCGCTGCTGTGCTGCCGGCGCCGCACTCTCCCGAGTGCTCCACGGGCTCGGCCCAGTAGACTTTATTTTAATCATTATCTTTTCTGTTTTGTATTTTCAGCACTCCCTCTTTTTAAATTATGATATAAAAAACACATGACATAAAATTTAACATCTTAAGTATTTTTAAGCGTACAGCTAAGTACTGTAAAGTATATTCACCGTATTGTACAACCATCACCACCATCCATCTCTGTAATTTTTTATCTTCCCCAATTGAAACTCTATACCCATTAAATATCAGCTCCCCATTTACTCTTTCCCCAGACCCTGGTAACTAGTGTTTTACTTTCTCTTTCTCTGAGTTTGACTATTCTAGGTACCTCAGATAAGTAGAATCATACAGTATTAGTCCTTTTGTGACTGGCTTATTTTACATAGCATAACATCTTCAAGGTCCATCTGTGATGTGGCATGCATCAGTCACTGTGGAATATACTATAAAGCAAATGTACCTCACAGGGCCTGTTTTCTAAAGCCTTGCAGTTTCAAATATTGACCTTGCAAGGACAGGAAATTCTCTCCAGGCTAGTGAGTCTTTGGTGCAAGATAAGAATTGTGGCACAGCAGGTTGCTGGCTCAAAGACAGATTAGTTACTGATTGTTATGTAAAGATACTGGGAAATTGCTATAGGAAGGAATGTTTGCTAAGATCAAGCTTTTGTTGATAGCCTTACTGGAATGTCATCTGGCTTGTTTCACTGAAAGTTACCAGCCTATATTGTTAAACTATCACCCCACCTATGTCTCTTCCTGTAACTTCCTGGTCTGGAAAATAAATGCAGGAAGGGAACCCCAATTGGGGGTTAACTTCCCAAGGAAGGAATCCCTCTCACTTGAGGGTTCTGGTGGGAGATTAACCACTTTGGGGCTTGTCACTGCTCAGTAGATATGGGCTTTGAGTGATCCGTTGCATCTCCATCACCCAGGGGAAGTGGGGTGACAAATCCATGGAGAGGGAAAAGCGACACAAACCAACAAGTCACAATGTCTTTCATTTTTAACACTAGTAATATTCCATTAGATATATACACATAAGTGGAATTGCTGTATTATTTGGTAGTTATGAGATAGGAGGTGCTCAGTTTCTATGGGTTCAGGTTTGATGACACACACCTGGGTTTCAAGCCACTCGTCAAGGACTCAGGCCCCTTCTCCATGCCCTCTCCTAGAGGATTGTTACTCCTGCTTATTGGACCTATTTTTAGCACCAACATGGAGAAATTTGGACCTGAAAGGGCAGACTTATGCTAATCCAGTGGCTGGACATGCTCAGTAGAAAGGGGTTATATAACCGTAGTAGGTGAGCATGCTCAGTAAAGTGGAATCTATCCTTTAAATGACCTTCCACTAGATATGCTAAAGAGCACAGAATATTCTTGAACATGTTCGGTGCATGTGATAGAATTCAACCAATGAACTTGACCTAGAAGGAGACTAATTGAGTGGTACAAGAAAATGTTACCTATCTGGGAACCGCCCCTTAGTGAATATTCCTTAGATAGCATGAAAATGGACTAGATGGCAAAACTATGCAAGTGGAGTCCTGGTAGAAGGCAGGGTTGCTGCTCACTGTCCTAGAGCCAGACTGCACTTAGCCTAAGGTGTGTATTTTTTCTTTTTTGTATCAAACTGGCTTTTTGTAGGCCGATATTCAATCTAGAGCCAACCTGCATTTTGTCTGTGGATCTAGATTTCCTTCTCATATTAAACTTGATGTGGGCCCTGTTCAGTCCCTGGAGCTATATTCCGACTCTCTCTGTGAAATCCGTTTCTCTTATTTGTTACATTAAATTTGTTCTCACTTTCTACTGTGACTCTGCTCATGAATTCTTTCTTGTGGTGGAATCAAGAATGTGGTAAGAGGACAGGGCAGGTTCAGGCCAGCCATCAGGCCTCCTGAGACCCTCTCCATAAGTATCAATTCTAAGTTTAATTTTTTGAGGAACCACCATATATTTGGGTAATTTTCTACACCAAGTTTATTTTTTGACAGTGTAAAAAGCAATGTGATATTATATTCTTATCATTTTTATTCGATGCTGAATCCCAAGTCTTTCCACATTGACTGGCATACTTTATAATCCTACAAATATTGGAAGAACAGGTGATTAAATAAATGATGCAATGTTTTGGAGGAAGCTTAGAGTCCAGAGACCATACTTGGAGCATTTGTCTTTCTTGTCTAGCAGGCAAAGTAGAACTGTGAGACTCGGGTATCACTAAAAATAAACACAAAGGGGCTGAATGTTGGGAAGCTTGAAGATACCAGGGAAGAGATGTTTATCAGCCAAGGGATTGGATTTTGAATCTGGGTTATCCAAAATGATAAAATGCCAGATAGAGCATGAAAGGAGACAAACATGCTCACCAGGATCAGGATAATGCATGTGGCTCTAGTTTCATAATTAGCTCTGGGTGAGAGCCTGCTGCTGTGAATGTGTTGTACCTGCTGCTTGTGTCTGTACAGAAAAAGGACCATGAAGCTGCTAGTCCAGACCATGAGGCCCCAAAACATAGCATCAGTGACCAAGAAAATGACTGCATTTACTGAGAATTCCAGTCTCCCTAAAGTGGGTGAGGAACAGTATTTGTACATTTCTTCCATGCTCATGTTTTTGTTATTTGTTGGGCCAGTTACATGTTTTACAACAGAGATATTTAACACAAGATGCAAGATCCAGCAAAGAAAACAGCAGAAAATGATGCACTTTGGAGATTTAATTTTGATTTCCATCCGCCCAGAGATACTGGGGCAAAGTTTCGTGGCCTGAAAGCCACTGAGGAGGCAGGTGGTGCTGAGAGTAACCCCTCTGGCCACTCTGTGTAAATAGAAGACAACTTTACATCCAGCCTCATCCAGGAAAGATTTCAATCCAAAAGCTGCCATTGTCTGAGGGATCCCTTTAGAGAGAATAACCAAGTTGTTAGCTAAGACCAGCTGGCTGAGAATCAAGTCTGTGGGTCTCAAACTCTGTGCAGTGATAAAAGTAAAGTTGTAAAGGCAAAGGAGTGACGAATTTCCAAGGATTCCAGCACCAGTCTGAGTGAGTAAGGTAATACCCCAATTCAAGTTAATATAAACCAATCCATCCATGTGGAAAAGATGTTGAAGTTTGAATTTATTTATTTATTTATTATTTTTATTTTGTCAATATGCAATATAGTTGATTATTATGTCCCAAGTTTGAATTTATTTAAATCAGAAGAATCTGCAGACTGAAAAAGAAAATTGGGTTATTTTCATGACATCTAGAACATGCTTTTTCTTACAACACCTATTATTCCAAGTGAATATGAACATTAATAATAGGTCTTTTGTAAGTACAAAGCTATTTCTTGCAGAATTATTTTTTGTAATTTAATACAATTACAACTCCACCCAACCTCAATCAAAGAGAACTTGAATAAACCCCAGTGCATCCCCACGGTGAAGCATGGGGCAGCTGTGTATGTTATAAGGATGTTCTCTTGGCAGCTGACCCTTCAGGACAAACAGTTTTATGGAGGGGGCAGGGATAAAAGAAAAATAAAACTCAGAACATCATGTGCAATTAGCTTTACCATAACCAAAGAGAAATAGTATCTTGGTACGCTTGTGTGTGTATTTGTGTCTATAATTTTATATTTAATAGATGAAAGAAGAAAGCAAATCCTTAAAAAGTGAGTACTTGTGAGGGACAGAGGAAACTGCAGAGAAGACAGGATGAAGTTAGAGTAATGTGATTGTGTCTTTCTTGTTTTGGTTTGGAAGTACATAATTTTTTGAATATACATAATAGCAAAATATATTAAATATAATCCACAAACCTAAAAATGAAACCTAAAAAAAAAAGAACATAATTTCATGAAAAATTAGGACTAATCCAAGCAAAGAAAAATTATTTTCACTAAATTTTAAGGAAAACTATTTCACTGTAATTTTGTAAATAATTTATATTATGTTATATATTATAAATTCATAAATTATTATTAAAAAATTAATATTATTAAAATTATAATAAATAATTTTGACTATATCATAAAATATGTTTATTTTATGATAAATTTGACTATTGTAAAATAAATTGTATATGAAATATATAGTCAAAATTATTAACATATAAATATGTATAGTCAAAATTACTTAATTTTTTCCTGAGGAAATAGCTGAATCCAGTTAGGACAGGACGTAAAGATTAGTTCAGACCCTTTTATTTACAAGAAAGCAAAGGAGCTACCAAATACCATCAGTTTCTTGTGACCAGACCAGAAAATCTATCATGAAGGATTCCCAATAGAAAAGGATGGGAATTTATATTACTAATAAATATTTGTAATATATTTTAAATATTTACTTATTTTATATTTTTATGTATTGGAACATAATTGATTATAAATATTTGTGGGGTCCAGGATTGAATATCAATAGCTGTGTGCAACGGTGGTGCTCAACTCAGGATAATTAGTATATTCAAGATTGTACAATGTAATAATTTTTTGTGGTCCTTTACCAATTTCTCCCTAACCCCAACTCCCCAAACCCTTTCCCACTTCTGGTGACCTCAGTTCTGTCCTCTCATTTTAAACATTCAACAAATTGTTGTGATTGTTGTATCTTTCATTTTTATTTATTTATTTGTTTATTTATTATTTATTTATTAACTCCCACTGTGACTGAGGACATGTGGTATTTCTCTTTCTGTGTCTAGATTATTTCACTTAACTTAATCTTCATTTAGTTCATCTCTGTTGCTGCAAATGTCAGAATTTAACTCTCCTTTATAGCAGAGTAGTATTCTCTTGTGTATGTATACCACATTTTCCTTATCCAGTCATCTGTCGATGGACATTTAGTTGGCTCCAACTCTTGGCTATTTTAAAAAGAGCTGCAAAAATCATGGGAGTGCAGGTATCCCTTCGACATGATTTCCATTCCTTTGGTTAAATACTCATCAGTGGAATTGCTGAATCTTATGACAATTCTATCCATAGTCGTTTAAGTAAACTCCATACTGTTTTCCACAATAGCTATGCTAATTTACAGTCCTGCCTGCAGTGTGGGAAGTTCTTCTATCTCTGAATCCTCACCATCATTTGTTATTCTCAGTCTTTTCGATAATGGCCAGTCTGGCTGGGGTGAGATGATATCTCAAGGTGGTTTTTGATTTGCATTTCTCTGATGCTTAGTGATGTTGAGCATTTCATCATGTGTCTGTTTGCCACTTGTGTATCTTCCTTTGAGAAATGCCTATTTAGCTCCTCTTGCCTTTTTTTCAAATTGGGTTGCATTTTTTTTTTTTCTCTTAAGCTGTTTGAGTTCCTCGTGTATTCTGGATATTAATCCTTTCTGGGATGCAAGGCTTGCAAATATTTTCTTCCATTCTGTAGGTTGTCTTTTCACTCTGCTAATTGTTTCTTTAGCTGTGCAGAAGCTTTTTAGCTTGATATAATCCCATTTGTTTATTTCTTCTTTTCTTGTCTGTGCTTTTGGGGACTTATTCATAAAGTCTTTGCCCTGTCCCACATCCTGAAGTGTTTCCTCTATGTTTCTTTTAAGAGTTTTATAGTTTCAGGGTTTATACTTAGGTCTTTAATCCTTTTTCAGTTGATTTTCAAATAGGGGGACAGGTATGGGTCTAGTTTCATTCTTCTACAATACGGATGTTCAATTTCTCCCCACCATTTATTGAAGAAGAAATATTTCCCTCAATGTATTTTCTTGTTGACTTTGTCAAAGATCAATTGGTTGAAATTTTGTGGGTTGATTTCTCGATACTCTATTCTGCTTCATTAGTCTGAGTTTCTGTTTTTATGCCAGTACCAAGCTCTTTTGGTTACTATAGCTTTGTAGTATAATTCGAAGTCGGGTACTGTTATACCTTGGAGTTACTCATTTATTTTTTGCTCAGGGTTGTTTTGGCTATTTGCAGTCTTTTGTTCTTTCATATAAATGTTAGAATTGTTTTTTTTTTTTTCTATTTCTTTGAGTAATATTGTTGGTGCTTTGTTGGACATTGCATTTAATCCTTAGAATGCTTTGTGTAGTTTAAGCATTTTTACAATGTTAATTCTTCTAGTCCAAGAGCACAGAATTCCTTCTCATATTTTTGTGCCTTCTTTATTTTTATCAGTGATTTGTTATTCTTGTTGTAGAGACCTCTCTTCTCCTTGGTTAAATTAAATTGATTCCTAACTATTCCTTTTTGGGTGACTATTGTAAGTAGGATTAATTTCTTGGTTTCTTTTTCTACTAGTTCGCTCCTGAAGTATAAAAATGCAACGAATTTTTGCATGTTGATTTTGTATCCTATAAGTGTACTTAATTTATTTATCAGCTGTAAGAGTTTTTTTGTAAAGTCTTTAGGTTTTTCTCTATATAGGATCATGTCATTGGCAAACAGGGACAGTTCAACTTTGTCTGGATGCATTTTATTTCTTTATTTCTTTCTCTTGCCTGATTGTTTTATCTAGTACTTCCAATCTTATGTTAAATAGAAGCAGTGAGAGAGGGCGTCCGTGTCTTGTTCCCATTCTTAAGGGAAAAGCTATCAGCTTTTCCACATTCTGGGTGATATAGTTGGTGTGATTGTCATACATGGCTTTTATTGTATTGAGATACTTTCCTTCTATACCTAATGTGCTGAGAGTCTTTATCAGGAAGGGATGTTGAATTTTGTGGAATGGTTTTTCTGTGTCTATCAATTTTTGATCATGATCATTTAATTTTTTCCTCAATTTTGATGAAATGAAGTTTCACATTTATTGACTCACATATGTTGAAGCATCCTTGCATCCATGGAATGAACCCCACTTCATCATGTTGTATAATTCTTTTGATGTGTTGTTGTTCTATTTGCTCATATTT